GCGTTGTGGCGGGTGCCTGTAGCCCCAGCTACTCCGGAGGCTGAGGCAAGAGAATCACCTAAGCCCAAGAGCTGGAGGTTGCTGTGAGCTGTGACGCCACAGCTCTCTACCAAGAGTGACAAAGTGAGACTCTGTCTCTAAAGAAAAGAAAGAATCTGACCTTGAAAGCTACTCTCTTGACTGTCCTCGGGTCTTGGCTCTGTCATATAATGTCACATACCTGCAGTTACAGGTGCATGGATCCAGCCTTTGCTTCAGTCCTGATACTGACATCAGATAAAAGTTGGAGTAATCAAAGAAATAGCGTTCTTTACGATGATAAATCAGGCTAGGGGGATTGACTCAAAACAGTGTGACATTTAGCTTGGTATGACATACTCCACCTGCTACAAACTTGAGCCATACGCTTTGGCCCAAGCAATCCTTCTGCCTCAGGCTCCCTAATAGCTGGAACTACAGATGCCTTCCACCATGCTGGGCTAGCTTTTCTATTTTTAGTAGAGACCAGGTTTCACTCTGGCTCAGGCTGGTCTAAAACTCCTGAGCTGAAGCAATTCACCTGCCTCTGCCTCTCAGGGGGCTAGGATTGCAGACCTCATGATTTCATTTTTGGATTATTCATTGTTGGTATATAGACATACAACTGAGTTTTCATATCTCGATCTTACATCCTACAAACTTGCAGCATTTCTGTAGCAGGTGAATTCCTTAGGATTTCCTATATCTATGTATAAAAGTATGTAATTTTAAAATACACAGCCAGGCTGGGTGGCTCACACCTGTAATCCTGGAACTCTGGGAGACCGAGGCAGGTGGATTGCCTGAGTTCACAGGTTAGAGAACAGCCTGAGGAAGAGAGAGACCATGTCTCTAAAACATAGTCTAGCCTTGTGCCAGGTGCCTGTAGTCCCAGCTACTCGGGAGGCTGAGGCAATATAGTAGCTTGAGTTTGAGGTTGTGTGAGCTAAGATGCCATAGCACTCTACTGAGGGTGACAAAGTGAGACTGTCTCAAAAAAAATAAATACACAGCCAGGCATGGTGACTCCCGCCCGTAATCCCATCACTCTGGGAGGCCAAGGCAGGTGGATTGCCTGAGTTCACAGGTTAGAGACCAGCCTGAGCAAGTGAAATACCATGTCTCTTAAAAAAAAAATAGCCAGGCGTTGTGGCTGGTGCCTATAGTCCCAGCTACTCAAGAGGCTAAGACAAGAGAATTGCTTGAGCCCACGAGTTTGAGGTTCCTATGAGCTGTGACGCTATGGCACTCTACTGAGGGGGACAAAGTAGGACTCTGGCTCAAAAAACAAAGGGTGGGGGCCCGATGCCTGTGGCTCAGTGAGTAGGAGACGCCGGCCCCATATACTGAGGGTGGCAGGTTCAAACCCAGCCCAGCCGAACTGCAACAAAAAAATAGCCAAGTGTTGTGGCAGGCACCTGTAGTGCCAGCGACTCAGGCAAGAGAATCGCCTGAGCCCCAGAGTTGGAGATTGCTGTGAGCTGTGATGCCACGGCACTCTACTGAGGGCAATAAAGTGAGAAGAAGAAGAAAAAGAAGAATACAAATTCTTCACAAACTATTCCAAGTAACATAAGAATAGAGAGTACTTTCTACCTAATTCTACAAGGATGTTAGCCCTGATGACCAAAACCAAAGCCATCACAAGAAAAGAAAACTGCAGGCCTACAGGCCAATAACCAAAGTCAGTTATGAGTATAGATGCAAAATTCCACAACAAATTATTAGGAAACTGAATCCAGCAACATATAAAAAGGATTATACACCATAGCCAAGTGAGATTTGTTCCATGAATGTCAGGTTGGCTTACACCCCAAAATCAATTAATGTAACACACCATGTCAATAGAATAAGATATAAAACCCTATAATTCTCTCAATAAACACAGAAAAACACTCAACAAAATTTAATATCCTTTGAAAATAAAAAACAGTCAACAAACTAGGAATAGGATGGAACACTGCCTAAGGTGATAAAGGACACCCATAAAATCCTAGAGCCATCATTACAGTTCAAGGTGAAAGACTGAACAGTGTCCACCCGAGACTGGGAACAAGACAAGGAGTCCAACATCTGTTTACCTTGGCACTGAAGGTTCTAGTCAACGCAATCAGGTAAGAAAAAGAAATGAAAGGCATCTGCATTTTAAACAGATCAGGTGCATTCAGGATGGTATGGCTGTAGAGTCTACATTTAATTTAAGTTAACTAATTAATTAATTTAAACAGAGTCTGACTATCTCGTCCTGGGTAGAGTGCTGTGGTCTCATCATAGCTCATAGAAAACGCAAACTCTTTGGGCTCAAGTGATCCTTACAGCTCAGCTTTCTGAGTAGCTGGATTACAGTTGCCCACCAGAATGCCCCGATAATTTTTCCATGGGAGTCTCATTCTTCAAGTGATCCACTGAGCAAAGGCAAGACCCCATCTCTACTAAAAATAGAAAAATTAGCTGGGCATTGTAGCAGGCACCCATAGTCTCAACTATTTGGGAAGCTGATGTAAGAAGATTGTTTTAGCCCAAGAGTTTGAGGCTGCTGTGAGCTATGATGAGGCCATGGTATTCCAGCCAGGGCGACAGAGTGAGACTCTGTCTCAAAAAAAAAGAAAAGTTTATGAATTTTTATTGATCTTTTCAAAGAACCAACTTTTAGGCCAGATGCAATGAGTCTGTC